TACTGCTGCTACTACTGTTACTGTTACTACTACTACTACTACTACTACTACTACTACTACGACTAATGCTTCTACTAATACTACTACTTCTATTATTGTTTCTACGACCGCTACTCCTACTACTATTACTTCGACAGCTACCGCTACTACGGCTAGCACTAGTACTAGTACCTCGATCACTACTACTACTACTATTGCTAATATTACTACGACGACTAATGGTTCTACTACTACGGCTAGTAGTATTACTGCTGCTACCGATACCACTATTATTACTACTACGACTACTACTACTACTACTAGTACTATTACTACTACTAATACTACTACTACTACTACTACTACTACTACTACTACTACTACTATTACTACTACTATTATTACTACTACTACGACTACTTCTCCTACTACTACCACGACTACTACTATTACTACTACTCGTACTGCAACTACGACTCCTACTACTGTCACTACTACTACGACTACTACTACCACTACTACTACTACTACTACTACTACTACTACTACTACTACTACTACTACTACTACTACTACTACTACTACTACTACTACTACTACTATCACTGCAGTGACTAGTACTCCTGGTGTTACTACGATTACTATTACCATGACCACTACTACTAGTATTACTACTACAACTACTACTACTACCAGTACTACGGCTAGTACGACTACTACTGATATTACTAGTGCTACTGCTCTTACCACTACTACAACTACTACTACTACTACTACTACTACTACTACTACTACTACTACTACTACTACTACGACGACTACTACTACTACTACTACTACTGCTATCCACTACGACCACTACAACTACTACTACGACTACTATCTTACTATTACAACTACTACTACGACTACGACTACCACTACTACGGCTACTTCTATTACTATCACTGCTGCTACTGCTATCACTACTTCAACTACCACTAAGACTAACAGTACGACTACTTCAACTGGTATTGCTGCTACTAGTATGTATGTTGCTGTCTTGCCGGCTACCGCCACCAGTACTATTAATATTACTACAACTACTACCACTACTACTACTACTACTACTACTACTACTACTACTACTACTACTACTACTACTACTACTACTACTACTACAACTACTCTTTCCTGGAGGGGCTGGGCACACACACAGTCGAGACTCGATCACCTCGGTCGAACCGTGAGGGGGCCCGCGGTGTCTCGGCTCAGACAGTTTGCGAGGCGAGCTCGCGACGCAACCAGGCAGCGCTCGTAGTGCGATCGCGTGGCTGACCGCTCTGAGGAGCGGCTCTCTGACGAGGAGTTGAAATCGAGAGCTCACCTGATACCTGACATTCCTGTCACTCCGCCGACACCATACTGATCTACTGCAGCCAACACCGACGGCGACGTGACTGTGGCTGCAGATTCCCGCGAACGTTTTCTCACTCGGCGTCCTCTTGTCCGTGGTGGGCCTCGTGTTCATTTTCCTTTCCTTGTTCATGGCCGTTGTGACTGTCTTTGCACCCAAGGAGATCGTAGGGGTTGTGAGGCTTTTCGCGGACGACGCGGCCATCGTCCGCTACCTGTCCGCCTCCCGTGGGTACATTGCCTACTTCTTTGACGTCTGGGCCACGCTTCGGTGGCGATGGCTCAACCAGCGGCTGTTCCAGGAAGCAGTCGAGCAGGAGCGAGCCGCATCGGCTCTCACGGCCCAGGAGGTTGCCCAGGACGAGGAGGAGGTGCAGCAGCAGCTCCAGGACGGGGAGGAGCTGTTCCTCCGAGTTCCCCTCGCCCTACAGCGGCACAGGGGTTTTCTTCGAGGCCACTCCAGGGTCGGCCCCACGTGAATGCCAGTGGCCCATTACTGGAGGAGGCCGTGGCATGCACATCGTGGCCCCGCTGCGGTCGCGCCTTCGTCATCCAGGGGCTACAGCAGTTCCTGGGCCACAGCGTTGGTGCTGGGCCCAGCTCGACGCGCAGAATGTGGATGCGCTGCAGCTCGCGCTTGCTGAAGTGTTGGGGAGTCTCTTCCCGACGCACATGAAGTATGGGAAGGTAGAGCCCAACGCCGTACAGTTGATGTCGGAGCTGCTCGCGGCCCTAGCTCTTGCGCGGCTCCGCCGTGCTTTAGAGCTACGTCGCCCTCCACGCTGGGCGACCCGTGCGCTTCGACTTCTTCCTGTGCGCTTTCGAAATGACTTGTGTGATTCGAATTCAGATTACTGTCAGTTTTGTCGAGCCGTCCTCAGAGGACACGAGATTGGTACGATTGGTCTGGTCTATGCACTCTTTTCTCACAGTGGGTTGTACGTGGGCAAAACCACCCAGCTACGTCGACGGCAACCAGGCTTCCCTCAGCGTGTGTTGGAGCATGTTCGTGCCCTACTGCGACCTCATTCAAGGGATGGCCGCCTACCCCGATACGGACTACTCCGCAGGCCCCTGGGCAGCGTGGGCATGGCCCCGCTCATGGCGACGGCCACGGAGAGTCAGGCTTTCGCGGTAGAGACGCTGTTCATCAGGGCCGTCGCCCCCGAGTGCAACCGAGCGGATGCGGAGGCTGACCGCCTCCAACGCGGCCGTGGTGCATTGCTGAGGCCGTCGGCGAAGGTCCGACGCCGCCCGCCGCTGTGTCGTCGGCAGGCGGCCAGGGCGACGTCTCTGCGGTCACTACCTGTCTTTCAAGCTGCGGTCCGCGGCGCCGCGCGAGGCCCTGCGGACGCTGGTCAACCTGGCCCGCGCCCTCAAGTTCGAGGCCCCTGCGTGCGGCAGTATCGGGAGCATCGACGGCTTGCAATGGCGATGACGTGTTGTGCTGGACCCATCTACCTGTATGAGCGCGCCCCGCTGTTTCTAGCGTACTGTGCCATGCCGAAGCCGTTCGTCACTATGCCCCCGTCGTGGACACGTGACCAGGTGGCGGCGTACATCTACGCGGCCTGCGAGGTGCTCCCGACGATGGTCCGTGGGGGAGCGAGTCAGACAGCGGCGAAGAAGTCCCTCGACTACATTTCGAAGGTGTGGCAGCTTCCCCCGCTGGTCCTTCCGCTTCTCAAGTTGCCGCCACTTCGTCGCCGCCGCCTTCGTGCAGCACGGCGAGCCATTTGTGATATTCTGCTCGGCATCCGCTCACCTGTAGCACGACGGCGGGTGGCTCAGCACTTGAGGATTGGCGCTGTGGCTGGGGAACGCTGGCGTGACAAGCTGTCGCGTAAGCAGGTCCTCCAGGGCCTCAGCCAGTCCGACATCCAGGGCCAGGGCCCCAGGACCCTAGGCTACGCGGCGTTGTGCCCCGACCTCCACGCTATCCCAGGACCATGGCAGCTTGGGCGGTGGAAAACGCCCCAGCAGGTGCGAGCGACCGCACTGGCGTCATGGCAATCGTGGACCCAGCAGCTTCGCCTACACCCCGACTACACCGAGCAGGCCGTGGCTTCCGGAAGTGATTTTTTTTCAGGGACTTCAATGCGCCGACCCAGCCGGCTCGGTGGCAGCTGCTCGAGGCGCCGTTCCGCAGCGCCGTCGAGAGCGGCAAAGCGTTGGTGCAGGACGACAAGCAGGTTGGCAAGGTTTGGGCCGTGGACCCCCAGGGCCTTCGCCTCCACTTGCTGAAGCAGGTGTTGGAGGGCCCGCAGTGGCAGTTCCAGCATGGACTTCAGCCTGCAGACGTGGGCGAGTGGATGAGGGCTCAGGCGCGTCTGGGGCCCCCACCTTTCCTTCGGCGCTGGCTGAAGCTCCCAGGTCGCCCAGTCAGGCCGCCGAGGTTGTTCTGCTTTGTCAAGTCGAAGTGTTGGACGGACCTGGGCGAGCACACGCGTGCACGCCCGCTGCATTCCTGCTGGCGCCGTGTGGTCGACATGGCGGAGGTTGCGCACGCCCGAGGCTGGAAGGTCATGGGCCGCGCCGTCAGGGGCGTCATGCTGGAGGTCGGCGGCTCCCACGAGGTCCACGACATGCATCGGGTCGCCGACGCGCTGCGGGACATGGAGGCAGCTCTCGCTGAGCCGCACCCAGCGCAGGTCCTGCCTGATGCAGGAGTGGCGTGCTGCCTCTGTTGCCGCCAGCAGATGGCCGCGACGGTGCATGCAGCGTGTGTAGATATCGACCAGGCCTTTGAGTCTTGCTCTGCCACGGGTGTTGGCGAAATGTGGATGACGTTTGAGCGAGAGTACCTTTCGAAGCTTCTCATTGACAGGGTCTTTGTTCGGAGAGGTCGTGCCTTCCATGTACGACATGGCCAGGTTGCCTTTGGCCGAGGTTGGTGGTCGATTTCTCTTTCAGCAATTCATCGTGCGGTGGTGGCCGTCACAGCGTTGAATATGGTCTGTCTTGGGAGTCTCGTGTGCGCAATGACGGGGGTCGCTATTTGGGGGCACCATGAGCTCTGCCTGTGTCTCGGTCCACTTTTCAGCAGAAGAACGGTCAGGCTCAGCAGTCCTCCAAGAGGAGTTTGGGCGTCTGTCAGTGAACCCTGAGGCCTTGGAAGCCACGTTGGGTTGGCGGCGTTACGTGGATGATACGTGTGCAGCGTCGAAGAGGATATGTTCGTCGTGTATCACAGCCTCCCTTCGTCGAGTATTCCAGGAGTCCCTCTCAGTCGTTCATGAGACCAAGAAGTTCCCCGTGATCCCATGCGAACGGTTTGAATGGCTGGATCTTGTATTATGGGTTCGAGATGGGCATCTTCATTGGCTTCCGCGGAATCCGAATCGGCCATGGCTCCAGAACCCAACGGGACCCTCAGAGCGCCCCAAGCCCAGTCTACTAGAACGGCCAGGCACTTTAGCAACTCCTTTTGGACAGCTTCGGGGTATTGTTCTTGGCAGGGCATCGAGGTGTTATGCGTTGGGCGTGGGCCCCCTCATAGAGGCGCTTGTGATATTTGAGGTCCTTCTGGAGCTATTCTACATCGGGTGCCCTTTCTCCCTCTTGAGGGCCCTCGTCCACTCGCTGCCGTGCTCGGCTCCAGCCTGCTGAGCACGGGCGGCTCTCAGGCGCTGGCGCCCCCGACCGCGACCTGGTGGCCCTCAGTCTGCAGCGATGGGAGGCCGAGGCAAAGGTCGGGGCGGAGGCAACGGTAGCTGGAACAGTGGCCGTGCTGGCTACGGCGGAGGATCCAAGTCGCGGGGCCGTGACTGGGGCCAGTCGCATGGCCCGCGCGGTAGTGGGCGAGGTGGTCAGCCCCAGCATCACCATCACTACTATGGCGAGCGTGAGCGGGAACGTGATAGGGATCGTGACCGTGATCGGGACAGAGACCGGGACAGAGATCGTCGGCGCCGGCTTCGTTCTCCTTCTACTTCGCCCGACGAGGTGCGCCGCAGCCGCAAGGAGGAGAAGATCCAGGAGGCCGAGAAGACCCTGCTCAAGCTCGACCCGACCTATGCGAAGCTTCGCCGCGATGCAGTGGCGAAGGAGGAGGCCGAGCGCGCTCAGGCGGAAGGGGAAGCCATCGCGAAGGCCATCGACGCGAAGTTCAACGAGTTCATCGCTGGTCAGCGTGCTCTCGTGGGCGACCAGGGCCCTTCGTCGCCGCGGCCCTCGGCAGAAGCTGAAGGCGCCCGCCGTCGCCTGACTGGCAAGGGTCGTGACTCGAGCGCATCGGGAGAGTCGGCCCAGGAGAAGCGCATCCTTACCAGCCTGCAGAAGAGGCTCGCGGCGGCGGAGTTAGGCAACTTCGTCCAGCCCACCACGGGCACGCTCGAGGAGTTCCAGACGGCGTGCGAGGAGCGCTGGACCAACCGCGAGTTCCTCAAGCTGATCAACCGCCTCTTCGAGACCTACACGCCCGACGTGAAGCCCCCGCGCTACAAGGGGGGGCAGATCGTGGCGGCCTTCGACATCCTCCGCACCGACCGAGGAGGTTCTGTGCATGAGGCTGCTGCTGACTCGTCGTTCTCAATCCTTTCTAAGTTCTACACAGGGATTTCGATTGGCCAGTTGGATCCGCTCGTCGTTGCAATTCTCTCAGTGGGTGCGTTGCTTGGGTTCCGCATTGGCGTTGATGTGGGCAAGTCAGAGATTCCCTTCACGCAGCATGTATCAAAATGGATTAGCCATGGCACTCAGTGGATCTACCAAATCGATAATCTCTACTCCTCTTTCCAGATGCTTGGCAATGGTGTGGCTTCTCAAGACAGCCCATGGTTGACAGGATCGTCTCGTTTTACCCGGCCTCTAACGGATCCCCAGCCCCAGCAGTTCTGGAACCAGCCGCAGGCAGCCATCCAGGACCAGCAATACCATGTAGTTCCACAGCCCAATGGATACGGGATGCACATTGGCGCGATGATGGGACTCGCGATGGCCAGACGGGTGGCTCATCGATTTCGGTAATCAGACATGGACTGGGATATCCAATGGTGGGATTCTTTCTCTGCTGTATCTGTCTTGGTTGGTGGATTTCTTGGCGTGATCGGCATTGTGGGTGAGATGAACTTGCAACTATGCGACGTGTACTGCGCATGAGAAGCTTGACTCTGAGTGTCTTGCGATGATGGCAGTTGTTCCATTGGTTGCGCCTGCTACTTCCAGCGCTTGGAAGGGCTACTACTCTTTCCTGGAGGGGCTGGGCACACACACAGTCGAGACTCGATCACCTCGGTCGAACCGTGAGGGGGCCCGCGGTGTCTCGGCTCAGACAGTTTGCGAGGAGAGCTCGCGACGCACCCAGGCAGCGCTCGTAGTGCGATCGCGTGGCTGACCGCTCTGAGGAGCGGCTCTCTGGCGAGGATTTGAAAGGGAGAGCTCACCTGATACTTGACATTCCTGTCACTCCGCCGACACCATACTACTACTACTGCTACTATTACTACTACTACTACTACTACTACTACTACTACTACTATTACTACTACTACTACTACTACTACTACTACTACTACTACTACTACTACTACGGCTACTACTATTACTACTACAAGCAGTACTACGGCGAATACGACTCGTATTATGACGAGTACTATTACTACTACCACTACCACTACTACTACTACTACTACTACTACTACTACTACTACTGCTGCTACTACTATTTCTATTATTAATAGTGCTACTACTACTATTACTACTACTACTACTACTATTACTACTACTACTACTACTACTACTACTACTACTACTACTACTACTACTACTACTACTACTAGTACTACTACTACTACTACTACTACTACTACTACTACTACTACTACTACTACTACTGCTAGTAGCATTACTTGCACTACTGCTACTACTACCAGCACTACGACTACTACTACTGTTACTACTACTATTTCTATTACTACTACTACTACATCTACTACTACTATTACTACTACTACTACTACTACTACTACTACTACTACTACTACTACTACTACTTTTACGGCTACTACTACTACTATCACTACTACTACTACTACTACTACTACTACTACTACTACTACTACTACTAGTACTACTACTACTACTACTACTACTACTACTACTACTACTACTACTACTACTACTACTACTACGACTACTACGACTACTACGACTACTACTATTACTGCTACTGCTACTGCTACTGCTACTACTACGACTACTACTACTCCTACTATTACGACGACGACTACTATTATTATTGAATCGCTTCGCTCATTCCGCCGGCCCGTGATATGGCATCGCTGGTTTTTGTCTGTGTGTTCGTTGCCCATGTTGCGCTCTTGGGGGCGGGTGTCGTTCGGACGCGTTGCGTGGGGAGTTTTGATGGTGAAGCAGTTCCCTGGGGGTCGTCTCTCGATGGGGCGAAATAGAGTCGTCGTCAAGATGCTTCTTTGGGGGGCCTCTTGGGGTCTGTTGAGAGGCCGTTCGGGGGCGCCTGGGAGACATGTTTGAAGCCTTCTGGGGCTTCTTTTGGGCCTCCTGGGAGTCTCCTGGGGCCTCTTGGCGACATCTTGGGGCCTCTTGGAGGCCTCTTGGGGCCTCTTTGGGACCTCCTGGGCGCCTTCTGGGACGGAGGGCTCCATTTTTGAGTTCTCGGTATCCCTCCTGAGTCCCTCTTGGGCCCGTCTTGGGGCCTCTTGGTCCGTCTTGGGCGGCACTTGGGCCGTCTTGAGGGCTCTCTTGGGTCGTTTCGGCGCCGTCTTGGGAGCTTCGTGGGCCGTCTTGGAGCGGTCTTGGGGGCCTCTTGGGCCGTCTTGGAGCGTCCGGAAGCCGAAAAAGCCAGAACACAAAAAACATCGAAACAACCAATGAAAATCAACGATTTTGGCCTCTTGGGGCTCTCTTCGGAGGCCTCTTGGAAGGCTCTTGGGGCGTCTTGGAGGCCTCTTGGGCTGTCTTGGGGGCCTTTTGGGCCGTCTTGGGGTCATCTTCGGCGTCTTCGAGCGCTCTTTGGGCGTCTCGGGGGCCTCTTGGGCAGTCTTGGGGGCCTCTTGGGGCACTCTGAGCGCGCTCTGGGGAGCCTGAGAGGCCGCACCCAGAAGGAAAACCATCTCTGAGTAGACTTGGTCGGGCGGCGGTCGGGCGGCGGTCGGGCGGCGACCGGGCGGCGACCGGGCGTTGGTCGGGGTACTTTTCGCCGGGGGACCCCCAGGGGCCGCCCCGCGCGCGCGAACTAGAAATACTGTTAATACTGTTAAGCAGTTACCAGAGATCTTAGCACGCCCTGGCCCGTTGGGCCGGCGAATTACTACTAGTAGTAGTAGTAGTAGTAGTACTACTACTACTACTACTACTACTACTACTACTACTACTACTACTACTACTACTACTACTACTACTACTACTGCTACTATTGCTACTACCACTACCACTACCACTACCACTACCACTACCACTACCACTACTACTACTGCCACCACTACTACTGCCACCACTACTAAAATTGGTTTTGCTACAACCACAACAAAAACAACATCTACTGCTACTACATCTACTCCTCCTTCCTCCTCCTCCTCCATCCTCCTCCTTCTCTCCCTCTTCCTCTCCCTCATCTTCCCTTCCCTCCTCGTCCTTTTCCTTCTCCTCCGAGATGCGGGATGTGCGCAAGGCGGTTGCGATGGCGATGTGCCGTCCGAACTATGGATGTCGAAATTCCTCGGAAGAGGTCGTGGCAATACCTTCTTGGGCGGGAGATCTGGGCGAGGGAATATCGGCCCCCGCATGCCAGAATCATCCCCCATGATGGGGTGTGGTATCCAGAAGGATGCATGTGACATGTGGAAGCATGGCGCATGATGGTAAAATGATTGTTGTTGTTGTTGAATACCCATTTCTAAAGAAGATGTGTTGTTGATCTCCGGAAGCGGTTCCGCGCGCTCTCGCCTCGACGCTGGCGACAATGTTTGTGACAACGAGGCTCCCGCTCGAGCGTTGGCTTGACACTACATGTGGGCCCGTTGAGGCCCAGTTACGACAACAACGGTTTCCGCTCGATACTTCCTCACAATCTACCCCGAGACACCCTGGCCAGAGAGGCCCCCGAACTCAGGAACGGCGCTTTCGCTCAAGATTTATTCGCAATTCAATTAAGTTGTCGGAGGCCCAGCCGCGACGACAAAGGGCTCCTTCCTCACGATTTACTCCAGGAGTCCCTGGCCAACAAGGTCCCCGAACTCAGTAATCGCGTTTTTGTTCCAGACCTTCCCATCATTCAGGCAATTTTGTAGAGGTACGCTACTTTTTTTTTCATCGACGCCGCCCCCAGCAACAACAACGCTCCCGCTCGAGAATTCATATTTTTTTACTCAAAGCTGTGCTCCTCCTCGCCGCCGAAAACCGCCGACAAAACCAGCGCTCCCGCCCGAGATTTCGTTTCGTTTTACGCTGGACGGGTGCCCTACTCTCTGTTGAATCGGCGCCACCCCCAGCAAGAGCAACGCTCCCGCTCGAGGCTCCCTCCCTTTTTCCTCAGGGCGGTGTTGTTCCTCGCCGCCGACAGCCCCCGTCCCGACAAAACCACTGCTCCCGCTCGAGACTCCCTCTCTTTTTGCTCAAGGCGGTGTTCCTCCTCGCCGCCGACAACCGCCGTCCCAACAAAACTCGGGTTCCCGCTCGAGACTTCGTTTTGTTTTAAGCTGGGCTAGCGCCCCACTCTCTTCAGCATTGGCGCCGCTCTCAGCAACAACAACGGCCCTTTTCGAGACTGTTTCGATTTCTATTCAGGGCCAGGTCCTTGCCTCGCCGCCGACAGCTCCCATCCCCACCAAGGTAATCCTGTCGCTCGATACTTCCTTGTGCTTTACCCTTGGTTGGGGCTCTACTGGCGGTTTCGCATCGGCGCAGCAAGGCGCGGGCATGCGTTTTCGAGGTTGAATATGTTGAAATTCCTCTGAGGAGGTGTTTGCAAAACCTCATTGGGCGGGACATCTGGGAATGGGAATAACGGACCACGCTATAGAACAAGAGTCCCCCATGATGGGGATGGTTATCATGATGGTCGCACGCTTCGTGTGAAAGTATCGCGCATGAAGGTAAGTTGATTGTTGTTGTTGTTGCTGTTGTTGTTGCTGCTGCTGCTGTTGCTGTTGCTGCTGCTGTTGTTGTTGTAGTTGTTGTTGTGGTTTTTGCTGTTGCTGTTGTTGTTGACACGCTCGTCTGCTCAATTTGGCGGCGCGGGTGGTCCTGGGGAGCAGCATGAGGTGGACCATCGTCTGCCAGCCGATTTCTGGCCACACGCCGCGCTCCTCACGCCACGGAAGCATGAGGCTCCTGAGGGAAGCGGGTCTTGTGCCCCAGGCCCCCCCCAAGGACATCCCCAGACGGCCTGAGGGCCCGTGCCTGCCACCGTGGGGCCCAAAAGCGGCGAAAGATTTCAAGGACCTCTCTCCCCCAGGATACGCTTCATGCTAAGGATCTCTTCCCGGTGTACTGCGACAGCACGAGTAGGTTAGTTCCTGTAGTTTGCCCCGATGTATGGCTTCGTGTGGCAGGGAGGAGTTTTCTTCGGACCAGGCGTAATTACCGTGTCCGTGGCACTGCCGCCTTGCTGGATCACCTCAAGCATCTAATGTTTGATGTTCTCCCGCGGAACACAAGGATCTGCTTCATTCTAACTGAACTCCTGATTCTCCCCTCCAGGCCGCCGAATGGAGCTGAGAGGGGCCAGCCAGCGCCGCGCCGATGCCGCGCGCGCGGCGGAGAGAGGCCCTCAGAGGATCGGCGTTGGGAACGGTCAAGGTTTGACTAGGGATGATCAAGCCTCGAGGAACGAGGAGGGAGGGGAGGTCGAGGATAGAGGATTCGTCCTGTCTGCGGCTTCCGGGGGCTTCTCAAGGCCTCCGTATGGGGCCTTTCGAGACCTTCGCTGACCTCTCGAGACTGGTAGCGAGGAGGAGTAGGAGGAGGAGGGGGAGAAGGAGGGGGAGGAGGTGGGAAGTGTTGCTCGGGGATGAGGGGGAGGATCAGGAGGAGATGGAGATCGAGGCTCGAGCTTCGGGAGGATCGACAATGGGGACGGAAAGCACATGGACAACAGCCGACAGCAATTCCGGCCCATTTTGAACAAGACTCGCTTTCTGTGTCACCGCGGTCGTTGTCCATTTGGAACGTGTGTCGCCTGGCCAACAGCGGCCGCTGTCGGTTTGGGACAGCTTCTGCTGTTTCGAGTCGTCCTCGTATCTGCTGTCCCATCAGGCACGCTGTTCCATCAGGCCACGGCTTTGCGTGGAAGGACAGGGCCAAAGCCTGCGGCAGGGAGCTAGGTCAGGCTGGGAGGGCCTCCCTCCGTCCCCCCCTCTCGGCCCTCGTTGAGCCTGGCTGGGCGGGGTCGGGCAGGGTCGCGTCACCAAATGCTTTATCATGAATCCCTGTCCATATGGTATTGTGCGGCTTGTGGGAGCTACCATCAGCAGCAGCTCCGAGGTTTGGCTGATGAGTGTAAGGCCCCCACAAGAGCCCCACTTACCAAAGCACGGCGAGAATATCTCGACCGTATTTCACTAGGTCTCATGCCCAAAGTTCTCAGCAGAGCTGAGAAGGCGGCCAGATCCTCCTAATCTATTGAACTCGCTTCGCGATCGGTCTTATCTTATCTTATATTATCTTATCTTATCTTATCTTATCTTATCTTATCTTATCTTATCTTATCTTATCTTATCTTATCTTATCCTCCCCTTGGGCCGCCGTCCTCCCCTCCCTGCCCCCTCCCTCCCGCCTGGAGGGGCGGGCGGGCTCGGGGTCAGGTGGGTCGGGGCTCCGTCGGCCCCGGGGCGGCCTCTGGACCGCTGTCCCTGGCCGCGCCTCCCCCCCCCCCCTTGCGCCCTTCCCTCTCCGCTGCCCTGCGCTTGGCTGTGCGCAGTTTGTGCCCCGCCTCAGGCCCCGGAGGCCCCGGGGCGGGGAGGCTCGAGGATACGCTCGTGGGGAGGGGCTCGATTATGTCAGCCACGGTGCTCACCGCGTCGCGGAGGGCACGGCCAGACAAGCCTTTCATCTGGTGATCGTTTTTTATACATTGTGTTGCCGATCGGCGCGGGCCCCAAAACCCCTCCTCCCCCCCATGGAGTAGATCTTGGCTGTTTTTTTGCGCCTGTTTCGAGCGGGTGGAGTCTCCCCCAAAGGCCGCACTCTTGACAACAGTCGCACCAAGCAGAGGTCTGGAGCCAGACCCCCCCCTTTCTCCCCCCTCCTTCCCCTGCCCAATGCTGAACGTTGAATAAAAAAACGTTCGCCTGCTCCTGTGTCGTGTTGGGATCCCTTGGGGCCGTCTGTGGCCTGGCTTGGGGCCGTTCGGATCGTGCTGGGGCCCTCGGGGGCCATCTTGTGGCTCGGGGAGGGGCCCGGATCTCTGGCGATGTGCTGTTTTCGGCCAGCGGGTCGTTCTTCGATTTCTGCCCCAGGTGCTATGGTCGGGCCCCGGGGCGATCAGAAGCATATCGGGGATGGAAAGCATATCCGATCAGTTCCTCTGTCCTCCAACGTTGTCTCGCCCTGTGCGCTCTCTATCGTCTACATAATGGCATTCGGCACGGACAGGGCCCGTTGAACCGCTTGCCTCTCCCTCTCCCTCCTTCCTCCTCCTCTTCCTCCTCCCTCTCCTTCCCCTGGCGCCTGCTCCCCGCCCCCTCCCGGAGGGTGGCCGGGGCTTCCCAGGACGCCCAATTGGCCCCCTGAGAGCCCCAACTGGGCTCCGAGTGGACCCTTCGTCGTTGTTGTCCGTCGTCGTCCGTCGTCGTCGTCGTCGTCGTCGTCGTCGTCGTCGTCGTCGTCGTCGTCGTCGTCGTCGTCGTCGTCGTCGTCGTCGTCGTCGTCGTCGTCGTCGTCCTCTTGGTGCCGTTTTGGGGCCCTCCCTGTGGCCTCTCGGGCTGTCTTGTGGTGCCTGCCCGAGCTCTTCCCTGAGGCTGACCGCTGACGACGTTGGTATTGACGCTCGTCGTGGTCGGTATTCATGTTTAAGTTGCTCTCAGCTTCGACTGTGCCTCGCTGATTTGGCACTGCTCGCCGGCGGCTGCCGCCTCGCGATTTCCACACTGAACGTGTGTGCTTTTACCTCGTCGGCGTGTCCTCCTCCTTCCCTCCTCTCCTCCTCCTCCTCCTCCTCCTTGTCCCCTCCTTTCTGGCCTGCTGTTGTGTTGGATGTATTAGCTTGGCCATTTGGGCCACCTAGTAGGGGTTATAACACAATTTCCGTGCCGCCGCCCGCCCGATACGTTTTAATGGGGTTTCGTATCACTCGTTTTGTGTCAACGGCGAGGCGTCATGACAAAGTGTTGCGGGAGAGTAGCCAGGGGAATGCGTCGCACTCGTAAAAACACAGCGTTTCGGACCCGAGCCGCTGTGCTCAATTTGGGGCCATTCGTGCGCGTTTTGTTCCTTACCTAGGCTCTGCCTAGAAGGGTTCTTACCGTGTTGGCTTAAAGGGCCGGGCAGTGTTCCACGCCCCGGGCGGTTCCCCCAGGATCCGCCCTGCGGTTGCCCCAGTGACGTTCCCTTAGCTTAGCGTTGTTTATCTCATCTTAGTTTAGCCTAGCTTAGCTTAGCTTAGCTTAGCTTAGCCCAGCTTAGCCTAGCCTAGCCTAGCTTTGTTTAGCTTAGCTTAGCCTAGCCTAGCTTAGCTTAGTTGAGCTTAACTTAGCCTAGCTTAGCGCAGCGCAGCGCAGCATTAGCATAGCATATCATAGTATATCATAACATAGCATAGCATAGCATTAGCGCAGCATAACATAGCGCAGCATAGCATATCATAGCACATCATAGCATAGCACAGCATATCATGCCATAGTACAGCTTAGCTTAGCATAGCACAGCGCAACATAGCATAGCATGACATAGCATAGCATAACGTATAATAGAGCATAGCATAGCGCAGCATAGCATAGCATAGCATAGCATAGCATAGCATAGCATAGCATAGCATAGCATAGCGCAGCATAGCATAGCACAGCATAGCACAGCATAGCATGTCATAGCATATCATATCATAACATAGCATAGCGCAGCATAGCATATCATAGCCTAGCATAGCGCAGCATAGCATAGCATAGCATAGCGCAACATAGCATAGCATAGCATAGCCTAACATAACACAGCGCAGCCTAGCATACCCTTGCATATCATGGCATAGCATAGCGCAACATAGCGCAGCATAGCATAGCACAGCATAGCACAGCATAGCACAGCATAGCATGTCATAGCATATCATATCATAACATAGCATAGCGCAGCATAGCATATCATAGCCTAGCATAGCGCAGCATAGCATAGCATAGCATAGCGCAACATAGCATAGCATAGCATAGCCTAACATAACACAGCGCAGCCTAGCATACCCTTGCATATCATGGCATAGCATAGCGCAACATAGCGCAGCATAGCATAGCACAGCATAGCACAGCATAGCACAGCATAGCATGTCATAGCATATCATATCATAACATAGCATAGCGCAGCATAGCATATCATAGCCTAGCATAGCGCAGCATAGCATAGCATAGCATAGCGCAACATAGCATAGCATAGCATAGCCTAACATAACACAGCGCAGCCTAGCATACCCTTGCATATCATGGCATAGCATAGCGCAACATAGCGCAGCATAGCATAGCACAGCATAGCATAGCATAGCATAACATAGCATAGCGCAGCATAACATAGCATAGCATAGCATAGCATATCATCAAAGCAAAGGCAAAGCAACAGCAGCAACATCAAAGCAAAGCACAAGCAATGTGCGACAGGTGCCAAGCTAGCCCCGATGGCCGGACCGGAGCCCCCGCAAGCAGTGCTGAACAGCCAGCAACTCTTGCAGGAGCCGCGAGCAGTGTTGAACCTAGTGCAAGCAGTGCTGAACAGCCTGCAGCACTTGCAGGAGCCGCGAGCAGTGCTGAACAGCCTGCTGTCGCTGGGTGCACAGCAAAGCAAGACAAAGCAAAGCGCAGCATAGCATAGCATAGCATAGCATAGCTGAGCTGAGCTGAGCTTAGCATATTTTAGCTTAGCTTAGCTGTAGATGTGGATGTATATGTAGATGTAGATGTAAATGCAGCTGTCGGTGTAGATGTAGATGTTGCTTTCCTAAATGTTCCAACTCCTAGGTAGGGTCGCACTGGGATACATTATTTTGCAACACTTCTGTCGCGCCAGAGCTGTTACACCGCCGAACGCTGTCATGAGCCCGTGGAAGGGGGAAACCAAAAAAAAACATCCGGGATGAAAAGCTACCCCTGGGGAAGCGGTCGGCACTTCTGGGGCCGCGGGTTGAACAAATCAGACTGGCAGCTGTCACGGGAGGGATTTGTGTTGGGCGCCCAGTTGCGTCGGCTACGTAATAGTGGCCCCTTGAAAGAGTAACCTCGGGTGCGGACCCACGGGGGTCCCCCCAGCAGTGGCCTGCGCGCTTGGATCTGGCCCCCCGAGCCCCCCCAAAGCCGGGCACCAAAGGCCAGCCTTGCATACAGGATCACTCTTGCGTGTAACAGCGGTGGGACGCCGAACGAGAGGGGGGGATCGAGCATTGCAGGAAAGCAGCCCCGAAGTGCCCCCAAACTGCCACCGCGGGCCCACATGGCGCCAGAAAGGCACACCTTTCACCACCTTTGTTAGTTTCTTCCGTTAGCGAACGCCCAATGGGGGGGGGGAACAGTTTCGCAGGGACCAGCGGATGCTTCACAGCGCTATTCCCCCAACTGCGCGCGCATTGTAAAGTCTTATCCATGCAGACTGGATGACATTGCTTCCCGCTGCCTGCGACTCTCTTCGCGCGGCCCTGTCCTGGACTGTCCTGGTGTCTGGCTTCCTCCTCCGCTGTAGGTGGTGGCTCGATCGGTCCTGTCCTTGGCTGGCCCCGTCGCTGGTGCCTGGCCACCCTCGCTGCGCAAGCTTCTTTGGCCAGTCCCTGTCCCCGACCCTGGCGCTGCCCCGCGATCGCCGTCTGAGGTCCCTGCGCCGGCCCCCTCCCCGATCTTGCACGCGTCGGATGTCGGGGTGGCCCTGATGACCCGGAAGCGGGCCGCTGCCCCGGCGGAGGGGCAAGACGTGCGCGCATGGTGGCGCGCCGTCAGTCGGGGTCGGCCCAAAAGAGGTGGGTGAGGACGAGGGGCGGATTCCGAGGCTTCATGCCCCCCGTTCTTTTGCTCGACGTTTTCCCTGGCCCTCCCTTCGTCCGCAGACATGCCTCAGGCCATGGTTTGCTGCCCCCCTCTTCCTAGTCCTCCTCTTGGGCCCTCGAGTCAGCAGGTGCCCCTAGCGGTTGGTGAGCCCAACCGCAGCGGCGCGTAGGCGTAGTTGTAGTTAGGTCCTTCAGAGCGTAACCCGGCGATCGGCTGTTACTGGCCGTCGGCTGTTTCAAAGCGCGTGCGTTTGCAAACAGTGTCGCATGCGTCGCGGCAACCAGCGAAGACAAGGATTCAGGAAGGTTTGTCGATGGCTCCGAAGGCATGGCTTATGTGTATGTCAGGGTCGACTTGGAGGTCTGGCAGGTCGTTTCTTTTGATGCGATCTTGCATCTGCACGAAGCAAGGACTATCCATGCATGTGTGCACTCGATCCGTACGTTTGCCTGCCAATCTCACTGTTCCATGCAACCACATGTGCAGACAGGTTCCGCCACGCCAGGCATTGCTGTCATGCGCGGCAGGCATGTGGATAGAGTGCGCAAGCTCTGGCAGCCGTGTCTTTTGTCCGCTGTTGACCCTGTCAGTTTCATGCACGGCGCGGCTGGCTGAATTAAGTATGATGCGAGTCATGTTTGCACACGATGGCTTGGCCATCGAATTCGGTGGCGCGCCCAGGAGGCAGGGCAGGGGGCGGGTCGTTTCAGAAGGTTCAAAAGGCTTCGGGCCTTCTGAGCAGCTTCCCAAGTCTTCTCCAAATCCACAGGGTGCCGCTCAGGAGGCCAGAGGGCTTCTGAGAAGCCCGCCACCTGACTCCAGATCCGCCGTAGTTGGGCGATTTCGCAAGTAGGGCGAACATACTCGCCCTACTGTTCAAGCTCCTTTGATGCCGATTTCCGCTCTACGTTGCCGCTGCTGTTTCCGCCATACTTTTGCGGGAATAGCTACCTTACTTTTCTGAGGAGGAAAGTCCCGCACTATTTGTTCCACTCGTTTGGGGTGCATGTCCGACACAGCTTTAGATATGACAATCAACCAACGTGCGCTGGATCCAGAGTCAGGGGAGGCCGCCCATGATGCCTCCTGGAGGCCCATCTTGGGCCGAAGGCCTGCGTAGATCCATCGAAGAACAGCTGCACCGACATCGACTCTCGGAGGTTCGCGCGGATCTCCCACATCGGCGCCGACCCCCCTCCGAGCCGCTGCAAGCGCTGCACCCGGGCACTCCGCACGGGGCACGAGCTGCCGATCTTGCCCACGACCGCTGCCAGCGCCGCACCAGCTGGCGCCCCACACGCAGCAGGAGCTGCCGACGCTCGGCGACCGGCGAAGGGGGGAAGTGAGATGAAGTGAGAAGGCAAAGGCCTTCTCAGAAGGCGGCGGGGCTTCTCAGAAGCCCTCGGGCCTTCTGAGAATCTGCCCGCGTCTTCGGGGGAGGCTTGGGAAACTTCTCCGGGGGCCGTGGAGGGCTCCCGAGCCCTCCGAGAAGGCCCGCCCCATTCCGACTTCCCCCCGGGCTCGCCGCCGAGACGCCCGAGGCACGAGGCACGAGGTACCTCGCGCCAGGGCAGCTCCTGCCCCTCCCCCCCCCCCAGGGACGCGCGGGACCCGTGGGCCGCGGCCCGCCCCGCGCGGCGCTCGGAGCCCCGGCCGGGCCGCCGCCGTTCGGCGCGCCTGGAGCTGCGCCAGCCGGCCGCGGGCTGGCGCTCTGCCGCCATGAGGGTCGTCGGCGGGCCGGGGTCGTCGGAGCGTGTTGCAGGGCCCCCTGTCTGCGGATCCGGGAGCACTGCAGCACAGGGTGGTGCAGGGAGGAGGCAGGGGAGGCGGAGGAGGAGGAGGAGGAGGAAGAGGAGGAGGAGGAGGAGGAGGAGGAGGAGGAGGAGGAGGCGGAGGCGGCGGCGGAGGAGGAGGAGGCGGCGGAGCAGGAGGAGGAGGAGGAGGAGGAGGAGGAGGAGGAGGAAGAGGAGGAGGAGGAGGAGGAGGACCACACCTCCGCTCCCTTCTCCGCGGCGGGGGTACTGTCTCAGGCCGCCGCCGAGGCAGTGCTGCCACAGTCGAAGGCGGCCCATCGCCGCTCGGTACGCCCAGCCAAACGCCAGGTGGAGGAGGAGGGGGAGGACCAGAGCAAGCCAAAGATGCATGAGCGATGATGCAATACACCCTCCTGTCCCAAATCCCCTCCTCATATCTACCCCCACAAGTCCTCCCTTCAACTGCAAGAAGCACCCCATGCTGCAATACACCCTCCCGTCCCAAGTCCCCTCATACACCCCCACAAGCCCACCCTTCAACTACAAGAAGCACCCCCCTTGAGAGACCTGCACGGTTGGGCCTGCCATTTTGGCCGAGGCTTCACTTTGCAACGAAGTGCTGGGTCCTTTAACTTAACGAAGTCTCAGACGAGAGTGCCATGTTGAAAAGGAGCACTCCTGCATTCTGCTGAACGTCGAAAAATGACAAAGAGCGCGCGCGGAGCTAAGGTGAGAGACACATTTTGAAAAGACCCCCCACCCCACCGGTAAATATACTTCAATGTGTCTTAAGCGCGTGCCTTTCAGGCGAGAGCGGCCCCCCTTCCATCCGTGAGAGTGCTGCAGACGTTTCAGACGAATGTGGGCGGCGCCTGCGGCGAGAGCCGCATTGTGGAAACGGTTCCCCCTCGAAGGTGGCGCTAATGCGGGAGCCATGCTTTGAATAGAAACCGCCCTCCACGTGATCAACGAGTGCAGACGTTTAAGACGAATGTGCGCGGCGCTAAAGCGAGAGCCACATTTTGAAAACGAGCCCCTTCCACCCTCCACCCTCCACACGTGCAGCTGCTGCATACTTTCAGCGCTAAGGCGAGAGCTAAAGTTTGAGAATGGCACCCCATCCATGCGGTAAGTTGTTGCAGGTGTTTAAGACGACTGTGTGCGTCCCTAAGGCGAGAGCCATAAGATGAAAGCAAGCCCCGTTATCCGTGGAACAAGTGCAAACTTTCAAAACGAATGTGCACGGGGTAAAGACGAGAAGAACATGTGGAAGACGACCCACTTCCACCTGTGAAATGTTTGCAAATGTCAGGCTTCAGGATCGTAATTTGCGAGGAAGTCTCAGGTGAAATGCCGGGCCCGCCCGGCCGACGCTCCTGGGGGTGCGACAGGGAGGAGTTCCATATTCGTATGGGAAAGGGATGGAGGAGGACGAGGAGCGGGGGAGGAGGAGGAGGAGGAGGAGGAGGAGAAGGAGGATGAGAAGAAGGGAGAAAACGAGGATGAGGAAGACGGGGGCGTGGAGGAGGGGGCGTGGAGGAGGAGGAGGAGGAGGATGAGGAGGAGGAGGAGGAGGAGGAGCAGGAGCAGGAGGAGGAGGAGGGAGGAGCAGGGAGGAGGAGGTGGAGGAGGAGGAGGAGGAGGAGAAGGAGGAGGAGGAGGAGGAGCAGCAGGAGGAGGGAGGAGGAGGGAGGAGGAGAGGAGGGAGGAAAGGAGGAGGAGGAGGAGGAGGAGGAAAAGGAGGAGGTGGAGGAGGGGGGTGGAGGAGGAGGAGGCGGAGAAGGAGGAGGACGAGGAGGAAGAGGAGGATGAGGATGAGGAGGAGGAGGAGGAGGATGAAGGGGAGTATGAGGAGGAGGGGGAAGAGCAGGAGGAGGAAGAGAAGAGGGATGGGGAAGAGGTTGACATCGAGCAGGCGGAGGAGGACCAGGCCAGGAGGAGGCGGAAGTGAAGGAGGAGGATCAGGAAAAGGAGGAAGAGGAGGAGGAGGAAAAGGGGGAAGGGGGAAAGGGGAAGGGGGAATTGTGTGGGGGGGAGGAGGCTGACAAAGAGGAAGAGGATGGGGATGATGAGGGGTAGGAGGGGGAGCAAGATGCAGCATGTCACGACGCATGGGACTGGGACTCTGGGTCTAGTTGAAGGGCAGGCTTGGGGTCGATCGAGCGCGAGCTAGACCTTGGATTTGGGCTTGAGTCTGGCTTGAGCCTGGGCTGAGGCCCGCGCGGACGCGCTCCGCACGCCCAGCCTGCCAGCGGCGCCGCCCGCGCCGAGCACGCCGACGAGCGTGAGCAGGGCCGGCGTGCCGCCGTTACCCTGGACGTCCTCGGCTTCGTCTTGATGTGATGTATCGCAAATCCCCCGCAGCGGATCCAGGCCATTTGCGAGTGCTGAGCTGGACTTGCGAGTAGTGGAACGCGTTCGTCTGCCTTAGGTCCTTCCACAGCTGTTGCTCCGGCCCTGCTCGTGCACGCAGGCGCTTTTGCAAGGGGGGGCACAAGAAGGGCTTGGTTTCTGATCTACGTTCCTTGCTCCAGCAGCACTGTACGGCAGGTTCATGCAGCGTTGGCGCGCTGGCGACGCCGGCGAAGGCGTTCGAGGTTGAATTCTGCGACGCGGAAGCACCGAGGCACACGGTAACTCCACTGGACCCGACGGAATTCAACCTTGAACGATCGGGGCCGCGATCGATTCAGGGTTGAACGATCGACGCGGTTTTAAAGACCTTTGCGCGTGCGCCGACGCCGCACGAACCTAGCATAGTGGGCCCCAACGGCGTGAGCGTGGCATTGTCAGTTGCCGTGCTGCGTCGCAGGCGGCGCGCGACACACAGCATATATTGCAGCGCTCGTGGTCCGCGGGCCCACCAGGGCTGGGTCGCAGTCAGTCGGCGAGTCGATCGGGCTGCTGGGCGCTGGCCGGAGTGGATTGCCGCTTTTGCATTGGGGGGCAGCCCTACGTAGGGCCTGAGCGCTGGATACAGTGGCTTCTCATGTGCATGGCAGGTCCAGCGTACTATTGCGCATGCTTGTGCTGCTGCTTATCGGAGGCGCACTTGCGGTGCTCAAAGGCATGATGTGGCGTTCGCAGGCTGTTGTGAGTAAGATCAGTAGTGTCGGAAACTTTCGCTTAGCGCGTCGCGACGCGGGTTCTGGCCCACCACGCCTCTGCGCGGCACGCTTTTCGCGGTCCGATCCCCGAGCGTCAACGTCTCGCACCTTCCCCAGCGTCCCGTCCTTCAGAGCGGAGCGACACGCTATACGTTCGCAAGGCATTGCGTGTCGCCAGGGCCGCCGCCGCGTCAAGCTAAGCAAAAGCTCCCGACCGTGGGGCACACATTGGGGAAAGCCTTGCGCCCTAGGTGTTTACAGTAGGTTCGTGTGGTGCCCACGAGTCAGCGATCCCAACGCGGGCGTTCAAGTTTGAACGCCGCCAGTGGCCCAGAATTGGCCAATATGGAACGATCTGGCGATCGAAAAGACGCCCCTCGTTCAAGGTGGAAC